AATATTTTCCCATCAGTTGAGACAACTCCTCCACAGTAGCAGGTGGAACTTTTCTTTTCTGTGGACGGCTTCTTTTACCTGTCACTACGGATGGTCTGTTTATGTTTTATTGAGAGCCTTTTTTGGGGCAGCTGAAGAGGAGAAGTCTATCTTATGGCCAACCACTGACTGTATCTTGGTCATATTACCCAGCAAAACTCAGTATGCAGGTTCATCTGTAACAGTCCCTATGCCACAGAAGAGCAGCAACATGGCTGCAGGTATCTGCGACTCCGGCCATACATCTGGGCGGCTTCAACCTTCCATGTGATTCTCACAATGACCCAATGCTGGTTCATTCAGAGTGCAGTACCTGAAACATACACAGACAGGATGACACAAATGTGTTTATCTACTTTCAAATCCATTCATTACAAATGTATCAATGAACGTGTTTAGAAAGTACATACATGTATAATTAAGATGCAAGATGTATAATTAGGATTTTTATAATAAATATGAATTAATTAGTGCAATTTCTTTAACCATAGACAATAAGTAAATTCTTCAGGACAATGTTATCCCTCTAACAGCCTCCACATGCTCTCACTGTAATTTCCCCCTCATGAATGAATTTATGCTGCACTAATCTGAATGTTCAGAGGGAAATCAAACGCATTTTACTTGCAGTACTCAAGCTGACTTACCTTTGTTTGAATGACGGCGTACTCACAATGTGGAGGCTTAAAAATAGCCAAATCTTGTACCCAATCCTTGGTGAATTGGATATGCGCCTTCAGAGATTTATAATTGCGAAATTGGTGCGCCGTGTATGCGCTGACTCCACATACAAGGTACAAAAATATATCATGCTAAGTCAATAGCGGTTGGTCTTCAGGGTTTCTATTCCACTGCCGTATTTCATAGAGGTCTGCTTGCCTCCACCTCGGGGGAAAGGGTAACATCTCCTGGGTCTAGGTGCCGTTTCCCCCTCCAGCGTCAAGGGTACCTGGACCTGGGGTATAGAGTTTGTTTGGGGAGTGTGATTGTGTGTACAGTGTCCATGTATGTCTATCGCTACGTTGGGTGAGTGCTGAGTATTTGTATATGTGTGCATGAGGGTGGGATGCATGTTTGTGTCTGTGTGTGCCTGTTTGTCTGTGTCTATATGTCAGGTCGGGTCTTACACTCCACCTCTCTGGGAACTCTCAGGCCCTCCAAGGTCTATCTCCCCTCACCACACTCCCTGTCGGTAACTGATGCCCTCAGGGGTTGGTGCGTTAGTGGGTCTTGGTGTCTGGGGCTGGGCGCTCAGGTATGTACCAGCTCACTCCCAGTGACTACTTGGCGGGGCCTGGTGCCTGTTGCTCGGTCAGGCCTCTTCCGGGGCAAAGGGGGCCCTCGGGCCTCCGGCCTCTGGCACAGCTGGCTGCCGGCAGAGCCGGCG